AAATGCAGGACAAATTTTTGACATGACCCCATCTTCGTTTTCTCTCACCAAATCTAGTGTCAACTCACAGAGCTTCCCTAACCTGCTCCTAACCTGCTCAGTCAGAACCCTGACATCTGGCACTTTTGCTCATTTTGCTCATTTCACAACTAGTGCATCAGGGAGCACAGAATTTATCCACTAGAAAAAAGATTTCCTTCACCTTTATCCAGTGGTGAAATCCAAACCAGTTTGCTACGGGTTCGCTGGCTGTGCATGCACACTGTGCGCCAAATGTGCACTATGTGCACATGCAGAGTGTGTACCAAATGCACGCTCTGTGCATGCACGCATGTGCAGTAGGCACCAAAAGGAGGCTTGGGAAGGTAAGTAGAAGTGGGGGGGGATCAGCTATGGTGCACAATTTAGCTTTGTTAGAAAGCTGGATTTCCTGCTTTCTAACAAAGCTAAAGCCCGCTGCACAGCTGATCATTGGAAATACTGGTTCAGAGGAACCGGTAGCTTTTTTTAACTACCGGTTGACCTGAACTGGTAGCTTTTTTTTAGTACCGGTTTGCCTGAACCGGTAGGGTTTTTTTTTACTACTGGTTCACATGAACCAGTAGTTTTTATCACTACCGGTTTGCACGAACTAGAGCGAACCGGTAGCATTTCACCCCTGCTTTTATCATATAATAAGAAAGACCTTCAGTTGGTGAAATGTGCTGCAATCTTTGAGGTTCTGAAACCAGCACAACTCGGCTGGAAAAGACATGTTTGACTGGTCTCTAATAAGTTTCAAGTAACAGAGTCTTCAAAACTTAAGGTTATTAGAGTTACCAAAATCTGGAAAAATAATAGGAAAGGAATTATTAATAACACCAGACATTTGAAGGAAAAAAAGAGCATTGGAAGAATATCTGAAGGACAGTGAAGAACAGAAAGAAAGCAGAGAGATCTAACTGGGATAGAAGAAGGACCAAATGAAGAACAGAAAAAGAGGCAAGGATTACATGGTTAACACACATACAAAGAAGAAGAAGAAGGAGGAGAAGGAGAAGGAGAAGGAGGAGGAGGAGGAGGAGGAGGAGGAGGAGAAGGAGAAGGAGAAGAAGAAGAAGAAGAAGAAGAAGAAGAAGAAGAAGAAGAAGAAGAGAAGAAGAAGAAAGAAGAAGAAGAAGAAGAAGAAGAAGAAGAAGAAGAAGAAGAAGAACTACTACTACTACTACTACTACTACTACTACTACTACTACTACTAAGCAGATAACAACAAGCCTTAACAAAGGCTAAGAGAAAAGCTGAACAAAGAGACAGAGATGGTAATTCTGGCTGCACAAGACAAAACCTTAAGAACAAATGCATACTAAGCCAGAATTGAGGGTTGGGGAAATGAGGCAGTGGTGTGGATGGAAAATTACAAAGATGCTGTAAATAGCATGGTGGGCATGGCCTAATTGGCCTCCTGCACCACGGCAGGGGGGGGGCGTTTTGCCCTCCCCAGGCTCTAGAGGCTTTCCTTGAGCCTCCAGGAGGGCCAAAACGTCCGGTCTTCTCGAACTTCCAGTAGGCCCATTTTGCGCCCTCCCTGAGCCTCCGCATACGCCCTGCACTTCCCTGCATTCAAAACAGGCCACGTGGGGGACTCCTGGAAGGGGAGGGGAGGGGGGTGGGACCAGCCAGGAGTGTGATTTGGGGGTTCTCTGAACTGCACAAAATCTTAGCTAGAGGTTCTCCCGAACCCCTGCGAACCCCCAGCAGCCCATCCCTGAGAGCACTCCCATATCATGTAGTCAGAACTGTGCTAGGCTTAACACATCCACCAAACTCCAGAAAGGACTGAAAAATTTTGACTTCTAATCACTAGAAGTTCAGAGTGAAAGAAAGCGTGGAGGGGGAGAGGGGAGGAAAAGGAAGTGTTTTATACTATGGTCCCTGAACAAATACACACACACACACACACACATCATTGGACTTACAATGCAACTAAATTATTTGTGTTGTTTTCAGCACTGCTTTATATGAGACAATCCTAAAAGTTCTTTATGGTCAAAAGTCAACCTAACTCACTGTTATCCAAAGGCATTGGATCTCAACTCTTATAATCTCACAAAAATACACTGTAGCTAAGAACATGGGCACCAGGCTGGGCAAAACTGCTTTGTGGTTGTTAAAAGATCTTCTTTGTATTATCACAGAAAATAACAGGAGTTTGGATTTCAAAGCTCAGTGAGGATTTTTATCGCTGCTGAGCATAGACAAAGGTAGAGCCAATTAGACAATCAAAAAAAAAAAAAGCATTATAGAATGTTTTATTTAAGCCAGAGCAAGGATGAGACAGAATGTCTCTTTAAAGAATTCTTGGTGCTTTAGAGGCTTTTTGAAGCTAAGAGAGATGACGAATGCAGAGTGCACAAAACTGTCTCTCAAAGATGTCTCTGTGTGGTCTTTCTCTCTGTTTCTTTCTGAATAAAGTGTAAGTGAAGGTAAACCTCTGTGATCGCTGGTATTTATGTATAAAGAAGGATGGTATTGTGCTGAAAATCAAACCCTGCAGTTAAGCTGGGAAACTTCTCAACTTTTTCCTTGGGCAAACAATACAGTAGTTCAGCTCCTATTAGCACCAAAGTATCCGTCAGATTAACCAGAAATAAAGCACAATCACAAATATAGTAAACAGTAAAAGAGTTGGAAGGGACCTTGGAGGTCATCTAGTCTAGCCCCCCCCCCCCCGCTCACGCAGGAGACCTGTACTAGGGATTCAAACCACCAAACTGCTGACCTTTCTGATTGGCATGCTCAGTGTCTTAGCCACTGAGCCACCTAGTCAGGCTTATCTGGATACTCAACAAAATATGTACATAGGAATATCAATAGATACTCAACAAAAAATGTACATAGGAATTGATAGCTGTACTATGATTTCAAACATTTTGCCAATATGTAAATAAGCTATTTAGAAATATTTCTGTTCTGGTTCGTTGCTTCTACTCCAGCCTTTTTCATTATTCTTTGTTTACACACACTTTACAGAGAGTTAAGTGGCTATTACAGCACTGTCCAAACATTATAAACAGGCCAGTATTTTTTATGCCCTATTCCTCCAATCTCTATTTTGTGTTACAGGTAGTCCTTGCTTAGCAACAATAATTGGGCCCAGAATTTCCATTGCTAAGTGATGCCGATCTGCATCATTTAGTGATGCCAATCCAGGCAGTCCCTATTGCTGTTGTTAAGTGAGGACTGGGGGTTGTGAAGCAAGCACCTCCTCACAACTTCCTGCAGCTTCCCACAAGCAAAGCCAGTGGAAAAAGTCAGCAGGAAGTTGCAAACTCCAGGAGGCTTGTAAGAGGCTTAGCAGGCAGGAAGCGACTGCAGCTGGGTGAGGGAGGGTATACGAACAATTTTGAGGCTGGGGGTGGCTGCTGCCAGATAGAGGGTGTGTGTCAGTGGTGGGTTTCAAAATTTTTTACTACCGGTTCTGTGGGTGTAGCTTGGTGGGCGTGGCATGGCTTGGTGGGCGTGGCTTGGTGGGGAAGGGGAAGGGGAAGGATATTGGCAGGGGAAGGATACTGTAAAATCTCCATTCCCTCCCCAATCCGGGAGAAGGTTACTGCAAAATCCCCATTTCCTCCCGATCAGATGGGAGGCAGAGAATAGATGGGGGCAGGGCCAGTCAGAATTTTTACTACCAAACTACTCAAAATTTCCTCTACCGGTTCTCTAGAACTGGTCAGAACCTGCTGAAACCCACCTCTGGTGTGCATGGTCAGCCAGTGAGGTGCACCATGAGAGATGCAGGGCCAGGAGTGGCTGCCGTTAGGTGGGGGATACTTATCAGAAAGACTTGTGTCTTTCTCTGCCGGCTTCCCCATTGACTTTGCTTGTGGGAAGCTGACAGGGAAAGTCATAGATGGCGATTGTGTGACTGTGCTACAACCATTGTAAGTGCAAGCTGATTGTGAAGCACCAGATCTCAGTCATGAGACAGTGGGGATGATGTGAGAGCTGGAACTTTGAACGGTCATTTAATGAGTGTTCAATAAACAAAGACTACCTGTATTTAAGGCTGAATAAAACATAACTGCAGAACCAACCTATCCAAAAAGAAATATTGAAGCTTTTTTTAGGTCCTTGTATCTTTCATTATCTGTTTTCATGTCAAGGGGTGGGCGGGAGGGGGGGGGTATTTTATTTTATTATTTTATTAATTTATATGATTATTCTCTTTTATTAGTTTTATTGTTTTATATATGAGGTTTTTATATTCCTGTAAGCCGTTTTGAGTCACCATGTGCAAATAGGCGGCAATATAAATTTCCTAAAACAAACAAATAAATACATTTTAATGCTCCTTCTTGATTATGTCCAGCATCAGCTTCTGATTTCATGGATGAAGGAATACTTTACTTTGTTGTTTTCATTTTGCAGATATATTTTTAAGAACAAAACATAATGTAATTAAGAGGCTCTTTACCACTTCTTCCGCTACTTGCTACAAACAGTAGACAATAAATTAAGATGGACCTGCAAACACGGCACTCTTAAATAATGCTGAATTAATGCTTCCATAAATAGATTCTTATTTATACATAAACAGTACAGAAAAAACTTTGTTGGGGAATGAAGAATTCATTGCTAATTTCTGCTTGCGCTCTATTGGTTATAGATGGAACCCATATGTCTAATATTTTGTATTCCACAATTTAGCTGTGTAAAGGATGTAATAATTATCTAGGGAACAAACACTAATATGTTGATCGCTCCTTTATATAGATAATTTTGCCACATCTGCAAGATGTGATTTTGCAAGTGATTCATGTTGAGCTGTCAGGAGTCTGGAACATCAGGGCTACAGTGTGGTACATAATTTACAAATCCAAATTGATGCAATTTGGATTCCTACCTGTTCCTCGTGTATCATCCTGTACTGTTTGTTTTTTTTTTAAACGAGCTGACATTCTAAAACTGAGATGAAAACAATAAAAAATTGTCACCTACAGAATATCTGGCAATTTCCTTACCTTTGCAGTTTCCCCTGTAGGCAATGTCTAGCTGAGAATCTTTGCATTTTGCCCGTAGAAATTCACATCGAGACAAGAAAGTCCTGCCATCGGATGCACACAAGGACTTCTGAGGGGAACCTGTGCATTCCAGACTACATTCTTTGTCTTTGTCTTGTTCCACTCTTAAAAACTTTACGAGGTAGAAGGATGTGAGAAAGAACAAAAAAAAAATTAGGTGAGAGACTGAAGTAACATTCAAAAGAGCTTGCATGTTATTGATTGGTTAACACAAATTATCTATTTGTAATCTTCACTAAATGACAGACTATATAAATTGTGTGCAAAACATTCCAGGTTCAATACCCATCACCCAGAGATGGGTTTCAGCCGGTTCTGACCAGTTCTGGAGAACTGGTAGCGGAATTTTTGAGTAGTTTGGAGAACCGGTAGTAAAAATTCTGACTGGCCCCGCCCCCATCTATTCTCTGCCTCCCAAGTCCCAGCTGATCAGGAGGAAATGGGAATTTTGCTGTAACCTTCCCCTGGATTGGGGTAGGAATGGAGATTTTACAGTATCCTTCCCCTGCAATGCCCACCAAGCCATGCCACGCCCACCAAGTCACACCCACAGAACCGGTAGTAAAAAATTTTGAAACCCACCACTGCCATCACCCCAGATTAAGCTGGAAGAGATGCCACAGTGAAATAATAATAATAAAAAGAAACAATTTTGATTTTTATTTGACTTCTTGTGTTTTGACAGTGTTCACTGAAGACAGGTACACAAGCAAGTTCTTATTTGTTGCTTTCAGATAGGAGAAACTTGAACATCTTGGTTGAAAACGAAATTCACTCCAAAGGCAAGCTGAGTTTTCTAAAACCACAGGGTCTTTCCTCAGAAAAAAAAAAATCTAGCTCCGAGAGCTGTAGGGGAATTCAATCTCTTTTTTTTTTTTTTAAATGGTGGCTGATATTTGTTTGGAGTTATCAAAGCTGTACCAAAAGGCAGAGTAGCAGCTAAAATAGGAACACCACCCTTGGAAAGCCCAGAGAAAAGTGCTGTTTTCCACCATTAATAGGAAGAAAACTATCTATTTTCTTCCACTTGGTTAATGAGCAACAGCTTATGAGAAAAATCTACTCTGTGTGTGTGTGTGTGTGTTTATGTGTGTTCTGAGTTATTTGCCTCAGACACAATTTATATTTGTACTATTTTCTGGCTGTTCACCTCATATTTTATTTCTGATGTCAATATAAATTGATATAATAAATAAATAAAATAAATTGGTCCACGTTTCTTTTTCATCAAATTGAAACAACAAGTAGAAGCAGCAATGTAGGAGAATGCCCCTACATAGCAAATAGTAATAATAGCAACAAGAATAGCTATTTGCTATTTGAAAACCCCATATGGTATTAATTATGAAAGACGGGAAAAGAAAGAAATAACTATGGCCCTCCACGACTCTTCAAAAGTATAATCAATTACTTAGTTCTATGAAAGCAGAAAGACATTTTATTTTCATTTCCCATAAAAGCTGGCAACACATAAAAGAAGTAAATTCACCTTAATTTTTCAGCAAATGTCTCTATCTTTCAACTGCTCTAAACTAACAATGAAGAATGCAAGGCATGTATTTACCAGGAGATCATAGCTGCGAGGCAGAAGAGAGAGATTCTCAGAAAAGGTTCTGAGCCAGAGAATGCCAACAAGCCCACACATACAAATCTTTTAATACTGCTTCTGTATTTATCAAGCACAAATGGCTAAAAGCATTAGAACCTTAATGTTTTAATGTTTCTCTCAATGTCATTCTATCAAGTCATTCACAAATCTTATTCTCCCCACTGATTCCACATGTGGAATTCTAGGCATAAAATTTGTCGGTCTTTCTGCTGGAGGCCAGGCCAGAAACTGTAATGTAGGAACGGGGAGCTACTAACTTGCATAGCTTCTTAGTGAAAGAACTAAGGAACTTTTCTTATGATGCCACTCCTTCCTCTTGGCTGGTACTGTGAGATACCCAGGCCAACGTTTTACAGTAGTGGCCAAAATTGTGGAAGCCTTTTGGGGAGAGTGTATTTTCTAAAACTAGCTAATAACACCACTTTTTTTGGGAGTAGTACCATAAAATTATATATCAATGGAAAGATAATTTAATCAAGAATGTAATGCAATAACTTTTATGAAGGATTTGCCTTTAAGTATTATATAGGAACAATACTAGTAATGATGATAATAACTTCATTGTTCAGAACTGGAGTGTAAGAATCTTTGAAATTATGAGTTCCTATCTGTACAAAAATGTCTTAGAGAACTGGGCATCAAAACAATTGACTTAACCATTGTCATCCACTGCAAATAATAGTCATGGTGGGTTGTTGTTGTTGTTTTGTTAAATGAGGTTTCCAAAGTGAGCATAATCTATGAACCATAGCTAATATTTATATGAATTTATGTGTGTGTGTACCAGCATGCATAAGGTAAACCCATTTCATTTTTGTGTAACAGCTGCAGTCTTTGCATTTCCTCACATTTCATTCTAAAGAAAATATAAAAGTCTTAAAGGGAGACTTTGATAATTATAACTTTCTGTAAATTGTGCAACAAAGTCACACATTTCATTATAAATCCAATATTCAGAACTGGAGCACATGTTTAACAGTACGATGGAATACTAACAAACAATAGGAACATCCTTTGCCTGTTGTCACTCTGTTTGCCAGCAACTTTTTCTTCCGCTGTTTGAATAATGAACAGATTCAGAATCACTAAATCTGCTCATAGAAATAAATCCTTGATCTGAGAGGCTATGCTGCCTTTGGTACAATTTTTACATATGTATAGTTTATTTTCATCTCTAGAAATGAATTTGGAGAAATAAAATTTCTCCACTTTTCTCTTTCCTTGACCGAAGATTAAAACCTGATCAAGATAACTATGTTATTATATGGCCAATTGAAATTAGCATTAAATGTGCTGCATAACCAGTTCTAACTTTTATTAGTATTAATTAGATCCTGAATACAGGTCTTTGTGTTCAAGAGATGTTATAAACTGAAATTGTAGGCATACTTATCAAGAAGTCTTAGTGACTTCAGCAAGCCAGGATTCAACAATCCAGTTTACAACTGTCTGCAAAGTTCCTCTATGGCAGCTATGCTGGCTAGGGAATTCTGGGAGTTGGAGTCCACAAGTCTTAAAGTTGTCAAGTTTGGAGACCCTTACTCTATGGGCTTCCTCAGATCAGTCTCACATTCTCAACATTTTTTAATATTTGTATTATCTGTATTTTATCTTGGCTGTTCACCGCCCTGAGTCCTTCGGGAGTAGGGCGGTATAGAAATTTGATTAATAAATAAATAAATAAATAAATAAATAAATAAATAAATTCTTAGTGAAAAGAACACAAAAGAGAATGTAATCAGCAATGGCTTCCTATTGCATGCAACACACAGGTGAAGCTACAGCCCAAGTCAGAAGAAGCACCTAGGAAGGGGAGCAAGAAAATTAGAAGCAACCCTCTACAAGCATGTCTTTCAATTCTATTAATTCTTTCAATTCAACCCTTTTTATAATGAAAGCAGAATTTCATTTCTCAGGCATATACAGTTCTTTAATTATTCTGATAAAATGGCAAAGGCTGGGGTGTCTGCAGTATGTGGTCAAAAAAGTCAAAATGGCAGTCACCATAGGGTACTTTTTAAATCTGTGTTGCATGCAATGCCCATCAACCACAGGCACAGCAGAAGTCTCACCATTGTGGGCACTATGTGGACAATTTTAACAAGGAATCTTCTTAACCTACACCTATGAAAATGACTGAGTTCAAATATTACACTAAATCAAAATGAAACACCACTGTATCATGACATTTTTCTTCTCTGCAGAAGACTCTTGGGAAAGATGGAAGGAAGGAGAAAAGGAGAATGACTAGCAGCAAGGTGGATGGACTCTGTTATGGTGGAGATGAGAGCACCATTGGAAGACCTGAAGGCGGTGGTGGGATTCAGCTGGTTCGGGCCAGTTCGGGTGAACCGGTAGTTAAATTGCTGGCTGGTTCCACCCCTTCCCCTGCCCCTTCCAGGAGTCTCCACACACACCATTTTGGTTCCTAGGAGGCTTCAGGGAGTCCTCCTAGGCCCAAAACAGGCCGCGGGGGGCATGTTTCCCTCCCACACTGCCTGTTTTTGCTCCCAGGAGGGTGCAGGAGGGTGAGAGCTCCCTGTCACACCCCTGGCCACGCCCACCATGGCCACACCCAGCCATCCGGTCATTACGGCATCCGGTTGTTAAATTATTTGAATCCCACCACTGCCTGAAGGACCGGGTTAGAAACAGATCGTCATGGAGAAAATCAATATAGGTGATCAGCAACAACTTAAAGGCACATTATCAATCCATCAATCCTATAGGCAGCTCTGCAAAGAGTTCCCTGTTAGCTGGTGGTATAAAGGATGATTTGAAGGGCTATTTCTAGACCAACTACTGCTGCGCATCAAGAGGAGAGATAAAGGGGGAAATAAGCACCTAATATGCCAGAAACTGCCTTTCAATCCAAAAAGGGCTTTGCCTCTCTTGTAGGCCTTCTCCTCTTGTAGGTATTCATTTGGAGCCTATGCAAAAATCCTGATGCTATAGCTTTTGTTCAAACCCATACCTCTAAGGCTTTCTTCACGTGACAGGTCCTGATTAACTGTGCAGCAGAATGACCCAGTCAACCAAGCAACCATTTCCTAAGACCTCCTGATCAATACTAAAGAGGGAAGGAGGCTGCACTCCAGTGGTGGGATTCAAAAATTTTTACTACCGGTTCTGTGGGCGTGGCTTAGTGGGCATGGCAGGGGAAGGATACTGTAAAATCTCCAATCCCTCCCCACTCCAGGGGAAGGTTACTACAAAATCCCCATTTCCTGTCGATCAACTGGGACTCAGGAGGCAGAGAATAGATGGGGGCGGAGCCAGTCAGAGGTGGTATTTACCGGTTCTCCAAACTACTCAAAATGTCCGCTACCGGTTCTCCAGAACTGGTCAGAACCTGCTGAATACCACCTCTGCTGAACTCACAACCTAGCCTTTCTTATATTTTTACAGAGTGCTCAAGCTCAGGGTTACACTGGAGAGAGCCTGTGTACCTTCTTCTCCTCTACAACCTCCCCATATGCTTATGAGGGAAGGGGAAGAAGTCA